TGTCTAATAATTCCTGCAATAATAATTATTAATCTTAGGATAAATTGTAATAAAAATTTTAGCGTACCGTATCAATAATCCTGCAACAGGAAAAATAAGGCCTTAGGGTTTAACGTCCTTGATTGGAATTATCCAACGATCTGCCGATAAGATTAGATAATAAGGTAATTCAAGTCTCATTGTGCTAATTTATCATTTTGTTGTTCCACAATGTGGTTTGTTTAATATTTAAATTGCTTTCTTTTTACTTGGAGCGCTGCCCAATAGAAAATTTTTATTTTGGATTTGTGACAATTTATTTTTGGGGTCGTCATCTTGTAAAAGTTTTTTTTTTAGTTTATTGCTCTCTGGGTTTATAAACAATTTATTTTTGTGGGTATTATTTTAACTCTACTATCCGGCGGATTTAAACACAATTTTATTAATTGGTTAGATTGTTTTTCAAAATAAGCAAGCTTTAAAAAGTTACTTTTTTTTAAAGAAAATCCTATTTTTCTTTTAGAATATTTAAAGGTTCTTCAGTATTTTTTCAAACAGATAAATTATTCAAGAAAAGTAAAAATAGGATTTAATAATTAAAATTACAAAATTAAATAAGTTTGAATTAAAAAATAAGGGAGAAGAAAATTTCTTTTATTGTAAAAAAGCGAGTTTGATTTATGACAAAGATTTTACTTTTTGGTATTTGAGTATATAGGTCTATTTTTATTAATTATTTAAGAATTAATGGAAATATCTATTATGATTATGGCAGTGCTTATTATTTAATTATTGTATGTATTTAGTTAATAATATTATATTAGTGTTACTTAAGGTATGATTAAATTAGGAAATTAAACGTGTGAGAATTTATTTTGAAGCCGAGAAAGTTTAGCGAGCAGAAGAAAATCGTTATAAAAGAATTGTTAAAGACTGAGAAATTATTCTAAGTCACAAGCAAGTTTTAGTATGGGAAAGCTGCGAATGGATATAAAATGAAAGAATGGACGATTAAAATAATAAAGAATTGTGAATTCGATGCGGCGAATGGATATAAAATGAGAGAATGGACGATTATTATTTTAAAGAATTGGGACTTGGAAATAAAAACTTAGAATTTGGTGAGACGAATGGATAGAGAATGAGCGAAATTGCGATTAAAATAATAAATAATTATTTTAAAATGCTAGTTCAATGACGTCGGATAGATGGCAAAAACGATCATTCCGGTTCGTGGTAAGTGAGTTTTTGGGAAAGTAATAAAGTCCAAAATTTTATCACGGAAAAGCGAATTCTTTCTCCGGAGAATTACTCGGGCGAATACTCTTCACCAAGTAATTCTAGAGGATGATACTCTACCTGGAAATTTATGTAAATATTTTATTGGTAGAAATTTTTAAAAGTAGTTATTAAAAAAATATCTTAAAAAGCACCCACGATTTTTTACAATAAAATTAATTTTTTGTTAATCACTCTACTCTTATTTAAAACTTACTCAAAATTATTTTCTACTTTTTAGTTTGGTTTGCTATTAAACCGTATTTTTAACTATTTTAAACTGTAATTTATTTCCAAGTTTTTTTAGTATAATTAAAAACCAAAAGCGTTAGATTGTAATATTTAACTTAATTAAAAGAAGATAAATATTTACTGTAATTTTATGAAAGGTGTATGTTTAACCTGTTAAATAAGTCACTTTTTTATCCTGATGATCCTGGTGAGGACTCTAGAATAAAATTATCAAAGTATTGTATTGTAATCGGTCCTTGATGCGTTTGCAAATTTAAAAATTAATCAGACGTCTTAAAGTCGGTAAAAATAACGTCGAAAGATTTAATTAAATAGATACATAGTTAGACTGATTAAAAAATAAAGATGATTAAAGAGAAAAAATGTTGAACCAAGAAAACTAATTTTTAAGAGTTTGATCATGAGTAAAAAATAAAAATTCTTTAATCAAGTAAAATTAAATCAACTATTTTTTGTTAAAGAATTTTTCTGGTTGATTCAAGGCAAATTCTTAAGAATTACTTTTTTGGTTCAAAATTTTTTCTCTTTATCATCTATCTTTTCATCATGACCATAAAATTAACACTTGATAATTATCAGGATTTTTTTAACAAATCAATTATGATAGAAAAAAATTTAACGTATAGAAACTGTAAATGCTTTTTTTTAAAAACAATTTTCTACAATGAAATAATTTTTTTTATATAATTCAAAAGTGGTCGACTGTACACTGATAGAAGGACTTATTAAATATTAATAATTTAATTGATTTGAAGACAATTATCTAATTTATTAAATTTCAATAAATATTTTTTAACATTCAATAAATATTTATTTGGGAGGAAAGTACATTTATTAATAGTTGATTAGTATTTATTGTTAAAAAATATTTATTAACAATTAATAAATATTTTGTTGAGTGAATTTGTTTCGCTTGCAATGTCATATGATATGAAGATTACTTATAGACAAAAATCATCTTTATAAATTATTTGCATTAATTATATTGCATTATAATAACGTTTTTTGTAAAATACCAAATTCTATCACAGTTCATAATTGTCTTTTGTATTTTTAAATATTAAAAAGGTTAATTTATTTAGTGAATTGAATTATTATCATGTATTCCAGCTATGGGCTTATAAAAAGTGTCAAAAAAAAAATTGCTATTTTTGCTTTTTATTTTAAATAAATATTTGTTAACAGTTAACAAATATTCATTAACCATTAATAAATAATTTATTAACTCTTAATAAATATTTATTAAATCCTATGATGTTAAAAAATCATTTATTAACAGTTAATAAAGCTTATTAAATATAAACAAATCCTTCTTATAGTGTAATAATTCAATTTTTTAAATAAATTAACATTTTTAATATTTAATTTGTAAATTATTAATATTTAATAAATCCTTCTATCAGTGTATCATGTATTCCAGCTATAGGATTATAAAAAATATCAAAAAAAAATTGCTATTTTTTTTTATCAATCAAAATTTCCTCCAATTTTGATAAAAAAAATGAGCATTAATTTAAGAAATAATTCTTATCAAAACACTAGATAGTTTTTTCGAGTGTTGATTCACGTCAACGTGAAATTTGATTAAAACCGTGTACGCATACTTGACCCGGTTATCGATCTTGACTGAATTCCACGGGAGCGTCGCGTCCGAGCCATACTTATTTTCTTAAATAATAACGATGATGGTGCCATATTAATGGTGACAATGTGATGATAACAAACTAAATAAAAAATTCCCTTATGCATGTCTGCTTCAATCTGAAAAACAAAAAAAAAATGACAAGTATATAAATACAAACAAAAATTAATTAAACGGAGAATTTAAAAAGAGAAAGTATTTACTCACGCAATCTTACAGCCGTTCTTCAATTAAACAAAGATATAAATAGTAAATACGGGTGCATTGACACGAGAAAAATTATGCTGATTCAAATCATAAACTTTCGCGTGTTCCCGTCACCACGTGCTCCTTATTTAACTTTTATTTCTTCTCGAGTTTTTTAAGGTCAATTTGTCTAGGTCTCCTTCTGATTTTAAAATCTCTTTTCGATTTCGATGGTACGATTGTTGCTATTGTTAAAGGTTTTATTGTTATTTTTGCTGTCTTGCTTAATCTTTTGTGAACATTCATACACGTTGGGCGCCACTGGGTTTACGTAATTCTGTCTTAGTATCGGAATTTATCCAGCTTATAAGATTATTTTGTTTCTAAATTATAATAATTATTATTATTTTTTCTTTTTTATACATTAATTTGGTAATTTTTTTGGTTCAAGGTCTGTATTTGAATTTACAAAAATATTTAAAATTTTTTTCTTAGTAATAATAATCAATTTTATTATTATAAGTTGAAAAATAATTATCAATAAAAAAATCTTTCAACTATCAATTTTTAAGTTGTTTATTGTTATTATTATTAGTATTATTATTATTATCATTCATTATCATGAAATTTGATATTAATAACAATAATAATAATAATGAAAATTATTAATGACTATGTGACTGCCGTGACTTGTGAACTATAAATAAACAAAATTTTGCTCTATTAAATAATGACTTTTGTTAAATTGCACTGTACTTTCTTAAATATTGACGTTTTTAAAGATATAAGCTCATCTCGATGTTACTCTCATCAAGACCTTTCATTTAAGTACCCACATGCATTTTTGATAAATATTTTTCATATATACATATATATATATAATATATATAAATATATAAAATATATGAAAAATTGATGTGGGTACCCAAATGAAAGGTCTTAATGAGTGTAACATCGGGTTGAGCTTATATCTTCAAAAATGTCAATATTTTACAAGATACAAGGTAATTTCTTAATTATATATCTAGAGATAGAGCATTTTTAAATACAGCCTAAATACTTATCATAACAAATTGAATATTGGTGTAAATTATATGAAACCTTGAAAAAGCACAAATTCAAGTTAAGACCTTTGCAACGATACCAAATTTTACTATAAAAACCTATTTTATTATGTAAATATTTTGGCCACAATATTTCGCATATCCTCTTAATATAAACTAATTTTCTAAAGAAAAATTGAAAAAACATTTTTTTTAATTTAAAAAAAAAATTATATTGTTGAAAAGTATTAAAAATTGGAAAAAAAAAATTTTTTTTTAGCTGTATAATCTCACCAACTAGCAAATAAATTAACAATAAAGAAACAAAAGAATTAGGACAATGAGACTTGAATTAATGTTAGGAATTGATTTAAACAAGATCAATTGCCGGGTGATTAAAATGTGTATCACTAAACAAGAACATTAACATCAACGAGTGGCAATAAAATAAATTGAAGATTGGATGTGACAGCTAAACTTTGAAGAAGATGTCACCGCGAACTGGCAGAAAATCTCATTTTGAGGATTGGAACAATAGCGAAGTCGTTGAAGCAGTCGCTGATGAGAAGAAACGGCGAACAGCAGCCTGATGTCACCATGTCAAAGTCATGTCACGTGACAGAGGACTTGGTGCTGGTGAATATGTAACGGATGAGTACCAAGATGCTGTCTCGTTGGCACGGGAACGGTGCCACGGGCTAGAGCTTCGATTGGAACGAAGTGAGACTGTTGTAGCATAGCGATGAGCGTCGAAACTGATACACTTGAACTCGAGGTCTTCGAGGTGAGTTTAAAACTTCAGATGGACACCCAATTAGTTTTTTTTTTCCTGCAATATAAAGAATCATATCTAATAAATAGAGAAAATAATAACAATGTTGGATAAATTAATTTATTAAATGTTGATAAGTTATGTTGGCTCAACTATGACGTTTGATGAAATTTTTAGTCTCTAAAATAAATTGTTATCTTCTAGTCATTATTATTTAACTAATTTACAATAAAAAGAATCAAACTTTTAGATTAAACAATAATAAGTTTGAGTTTAATATAAATAATCAGCAAACAAATAATTTACAAATCATGTGAAGAAATATACAAAGTACATATAAGTACTTCTCGAGAACGAGTCGCTAAAATTAAATAGGCTTTTTTGTAAATATACAATTGACAACCAACATTATTATTCGACTTACAAACTAATTACCGCTAATATTTTAATTATCAATCAATAAAATTATAAAAATATATCGGTGTGTAATATATTTACCTACTTTAACCTTTTAGCGTCGAGAATCCACTTTGTAACATCGTAACTTTGTAGCTTTATAACTCCGTTAAATTTTTAGTCGGCGTGTATCTGAAAAAATGATATTGTTAATAAATAAATACTAGCAAAAAATTTCATTTAAATAAAGAAGAATTATAAATTTGACAGATAAGTTTAACCTCTGTGGATTGAGATTAAGAATTTCTTCCCAATTCCCGGCAAATTTTCTTATACTTTTTTATATTCTATCACTCAGTAACTTTGTTTGTTTCATTAATTCTCAAATATAAACATTAAAATATAAACCATACCTTATTATTTAATTGGATTCTGTCAACAATGTCAGCTTCAACAAACATGTCTGATGCTTACCGGCGGTACCGCTGGTGGCGCAGCGTTCTGTCAAATGAAAATAATTTTCAAAAATTCCAATAACAATAAAAAAAACTTACAATTTAATATTTAAACAAAATGTCGAAAATTTTGTCTATTAAAAACAAGTTAAATTATGATAAAGAAGAAATATTACTTACAACTGACTAATTGAATTAACAATGAAGAAATATATTTTTTATAATTGATAAGCAAGTGCAGTTACCGCGTGACAGATAAAAACATTGATTTGTTAATTCTCTCATTTTTTTATTTCTTCATTAAGGTAAAAGCCCCAATTATTGACACTAGAAGAGACAAAGTTATGATTTGATTTTTTTTTAAGCAATCAAATATTAATATCGTTGAATTTTCTTTGTGGTAATGTCTCAAGTAATGTTTTTACTAATCAATTTCTTTTTTTAAAATGATAATCACTGATATTTACTAATTAATTTTAAATAATTAAATAGAGTATCCGGATACACTGATTGACAGGTTAAAAAACTGATTGATCTAATTATTGACATACCTTAGCCCCAATTATTGACACCTATACTGCGCATGCGTCGAATCATCTGCTTATTCTTATTTATCGAAACTTATTATTAAGTAATCAATATTATTAAAGTTTATTAATAATAATTTTCATAAATGATTAATTACTTTTAAAAATATAAAAATTAATTTAAAAATAATTTATTGAATCAGAAGAGTTCAAACTCTTACAGTAAATTTTTTAGGTTAAAGTAAAAAAAAGGCGTGATAGCGCTGTCGACTGGCTGTCAATATGAGATTGAACTTAAAAATTATCAACTAGTTATTGACACCCATTATTTAAATATTATAAAGGAAACAATTAATATCGATTATTCAATTTTATAAATTTTTCATATATTGTTAATTAAAAAAAGATCATATAATTAAATATATTCAAAAATAATTTAGGGTGTCAATATTTGGACCTCTGTGAATAATTATGACTTTTACTTTAGTAATTTTTGAGATGCAACAATAAATAGAACAAGCATTAGTAAAAATATAAGCTAAAAATAATTAATAATTAAAAATTTCTTGTAAATTTTTTCACCTGAAGGTACGAGACAACGATTGTACCGGCGAAACCTCCGGCAAGCGAGGAGCATCACTGTCATCATCAAAACTCGGAAGATCATCAAAACCCAGAGACATTGAACCCATAGTGCTGGCGAACCCCACGACCAGCAGCAGTAGCACCTGGCGCAAGAAGCGGAAGCGTCGGAAATCAAAAAATAAACAGCAACTGCAGCTGCAGTTGCCAAGCAGCCAGCGCCCAAGCTTGGGGCTGGCTCACCAGACAGTCGTAAATTTTCCGTCGTCCTCCAAGGACTTAGAACAGACTGAAGGCGAGTGCTCGAAGCGCGACTCCTCGAGCAGCCTCGGGGGGCCCAGTGCTCGCCACACCACCTTAAGGGAATCTCTGCTAACTGTGCTTGGCAAGCTAGTTGTCTGGAAGGGCACCAGGTACCGACCCACTCCCACGAACCCGGCCACTGGAACGTCCACTAATTCCTCTTCAGTGCCACCGAACTCTCCTCCAGCTACTGAGTGCATTGGAAGAGGAACTGTTTTCTTCTCCAGTGGTGAGCTTTTGATTCTTCCTGAAAGTTTTCAGGTTTCAGGCTAAAATTTGTTGTCTATTTTTGAAAGGCGCTTAAGTTTGGTTTGTTTTTTCTTCTGATAAAATTGTTTTATTTATTTTATTTGTATTGATCCTTGAAAAATTATCTAGTTTTTTAGATTGTTAGATTATTTTTTTTTAGTAATTGTTTTGATATTAATTAAATTTTCTTATTTCAGAAACGGAAAGGCGAATTCGAGCGAACAATCGCGAGTACAATTCACAATTTAAATATGCGGTGAGTTTTATAAAATAAAAAGCATTAATTGAAGATTTTAATTTTTTTTTACATATTTAGAATTTTTTTTTTTAAACTGGAGGATAAAATGATACTGAAGTAAGAAGACATCTATCAAATTTAAGGTTTTATTTCAAAAATAAATTAGTGAAAAAAAAAAATGAAAATGATGTTAGCCGACATTTCAAAATTTTTAGAAATTTTTTATTGGAAAGATTTTAATTAAAAAATTGAAAATAAAAAATTTCACTTGTAAAAAACTTAAAAAACTATAAGTGCAATTTTTTAGAAATATTTTTTTAGTTGTAATTTAATTAATAAAAAAAATCAAAAATTTTTAGACGTCTGCTAACTTCAGTGTCATTTAAAAAATTTGTACTGACAGTTTTTCTAATTATCTAGATGTGTAATTTTTTCAATTATAAAAATTGTTCCATGTCTGCTAATTTCAGTATCATTATAGGATAAAGGCTCTACATATTGAATAGTTTAGATAAAATTAACATAAATACATTATTATTAAATTTATTGCAAGAGTTTTCAGCTGAAACGAGTGTTTTCTTTTTTTTTTATAGTTTTAACTTACGAACTATAATACTTTTGTTCATAAAATACATAATAATAAACATTTAATTGTAATAATTAACGTTACAGCCGATTGCTCCGAATATTGAACATTACTTACTAAATATTGACCTTGTATGTTCCAAATACTGACCAGTAGTATTATGCTAACTAGACTTGTAAATAATTTTTATTTAAAATCTATAATAGTTTGGACATTAGCTAATCTATTCACTGACATGTTAATAATTCAAGTATTGTTGTTAGTTGTTCTGTATTCTGATACAATATTATCTTCAGTACTCATATTTAAATCAATCTTTCAAGTTATACTAATATTAGGTACATTGGATAATTTATGACTACGATTATCATCCATGATTTATAAACAATAATGAAAATTATCAGGAACTTGGACTATAAAAAATAACTCAGTGTCAAATTTTTTAAATGTTGCAACGTTTCGTTGTATTTCACAACTTCATCAGGCAAACTGTACAAGAGAAAACACATTGTTAATAACAATATGACAAGGATAACAAAAAGATAAATATTAAAAAATCTTACATTTAAGGTTAACACTGTTGTATCTCAAAATAAACTCCGAAAAATTTCATCGTTTTATAATATATAAATAAAGTTGAACAAGTGGTAACCATAATATTAAGAAAACTTAGTCAATTTCCATTCCATTTAAACAAATTAGTCAACAATAATAAGTTATAAAATTACAATAATTACATTCAAGACAGACAGCAACAGACTGAGTGTAAACAACTGCAATGGTAAAAACAGTTGTGCTTCTCCAATCTACTATGCCGACTCTCAATTTTGAAATGATTATGATTTAAAATATTTATTAATACAAATAATCTCAGTCAAATAAATAAATAAAAATTATCTTAAAATAATCCCTATAAAAAATTCTTACTATTTCATTTTTTACAAAATCACCTTTCACAGAAAAATATTTTCCAAGAGAAAAAAATTATTATTGCATGAATCTTTTAGCCACTGATATGATGTCACTGTATGATGAACTTAAACCCTGAGTATCAGACCTAAAGTTGACGCAATCAAACACTTTAATGAAAAACATCTCACTGATGTTACGTTTTAGAAAATGAGATTCATAGTCTAAAATATGAGCAGCGTCAAACTGAAAGTCATGCCCGCTCTCAAAGTGATGATCCGCCAATGCCGTCATGTTACTCTTTGTTAATGTTGACAGGTCTGCAATCGTTGATGTGTTGATTAATCCGCTTCTTAAGTTTCTGCTTCGTTTGTCCTATATATGATTTGCCACAAGTGCAAGGAATCCGATACACCAAGCAAGATCTATCCCACTTATCAACTGGATCTTTTAGATGACTATAAAGATCTTTGATTTTACACAAATTGTAAAAGACTAATTTACAATTAGTCTGCCTGAACAAGCATCCAATCCTGGGTGACAAACCTTTAATATAGGGAAGCTTACAGAACGACCACCCTTTCAAACCAGCCTCAATCCTCAAATTACTATTAATTCTATCATTAGTAATTTTCTCACACTTCCTGAGAAGAGATGACGGATAGTTGTTGTTCATGAGCAAGTGTTTCACTTTACCAGTACTTACAGCCACCATATTCACATGACTTAGACGTATGGCTCTGTTAAAGAAACCTTGTGCTACACCTAGCTTCTGGCTCAGAGGATGATTTGATTTCAAGTTCAGAACTCTCCTCTCCCCGAACTATATGGCTTTTGATACGGTATCAAGCGTTTTGATCCCCCGACAAAATATCCCCGGACAAAATATGGTTTTTCTGAAATAATAATTATAAATTATTGAAATTTATTATAATTATTAAATTATAAATTATAAATTTATAATAATTTATAATTATTATTTCAGAAAAACCATATTTTGATAAATTTCAATAATTTATAATTATTATTTCAGAAAAACCATATTTTGTCCGGGGATATTTTGTCGGGGGATCAAAAATCATGGAACCTTTGATACTTACCATCTTGTTCAACTTCAATTGTGAATTGGATGTCTTTATTAATTGAATTGAACACCTTTACAACCATATCAACTTTATCCCTTGGTGTAATGAGAAAGAGATCATCCACATATGCTGCTACAACCGGAATTGGATAATAATTTATAACACCAATTGTTGACCAGAGTATTATTTAAATTATTAACATGCTTTTTCTAACAAAAATAATTGATAATTAATCTTGGATATTAAATTGTTTAAATACTTATTTATTGATTATGAAGTATTTAATTTTATATTAATTGATCATAAATGTAGCAAACACGGCGAAGTTTTTTGACTAATTTTCCCAAATTTCTGACATTTGTACCCAAACTTATTTTTTTTTTACTGGATATATTTATGTGGATGCTTAAATTTTTATTTAAAGTATAATTAAAAATTGATAATTGCCCACTGAATATAAAATTAAATTACTAAATATTTTAATATCAAGTTATTATGTAAGGTCAATATTTGGTTTTTTTACCTTTATTTATTTTTCTAAATAAATTCACTTTTTAATAATAAATTAATTAAATTTTTTTAAGTTAAAAAATTGCATAATATTTATTTAAAAAGTATAAATAATTTTCGTTGTTAATTAGCGTATCTACGATACTAAAAAAAAAAATAACTCAATTCAATAAAAATTTTTTTTTTTTTTTTAACAATGTTACTTATTAAAAAATATTTCATTGTTACAGAACAATTATATAAAAACGTCCAAGTACTCAGTATTGACGTTTCTGCCATTGAATTTGTTTGAACAATTTCAACGATTGGCTAATTTTTACTTCCTATGTCTGCTGGTGCTTCAAATGATTCCTGCAATATCATCTCTAACCCCAATTACTACAGCAATACCTCTTATTGGGGTACTTACACTCACTGCCGTCAAAGATGCCTACGACGACTTTGTAAGCATTAAAAACTTTTTACCTTTTTTTTTTTTTTTAATTTTTCTTCTTAATAAATAAATAAATAAATAAATAATTATAATAATTATTATTTTTAGCAACGACATAGCAGCGATTCTCAAGTTAATAATAGAAAGTCGCAGACATTACGAGGTACCCAGCTCAAAGTTGAAAAATGGTCGCAAGTACAAGTCGGCGACGTTATTAGGATGGAAAACGATCAATTTGTCGCCGCCGATGTCCTTTTATTATCGACGAGCGAACCTAATGGCCTCTGCTACATCGAGACTGCTGAATTAGACGGGTAATTATAATTATTAATTATAATTATAATCATATGATATCTGAGGTTCCTTTATAACCTCACTGTCCTTATTTCATAAGGTAAAGAACCCAGTAGTTGAACAGGTTTCAGTAAAACGTATTTGACCCTACTTTTAATAAATGAAGATGTAATTATTAGTTAAAATTATTAGTTAAAATTATTATTTAAAATTATTAGTTAAAATTATTAGTTAAAATTAGTGATTTTCATGAAAATATAAAGAATTTTGAATTTATTGAAGCGCAAAATAACAAAGATAATTTAATATTTATATTTTGACAACGATTTTAAGATAGACTATCAAAGGAGTAGTAGTTGAGCAATCAATTCTGACAAGCCGCAGTAGTTGAACACTCCGGGAGCAGTAGTTGAACTAATAAAATATATGGCAATAGGCACACCAAAAATTTTCAATGTTTTATTGAAATATCAAAAGAATTATAACATATTATTGATTAATATTAAAAATAATACTATGAATATTTAGTATGTTCATTTAAAAATGAGAAATATTTGTATTTAATTTTTTAATTACATTTTTTATAAATGACAAAGCAAATTTTCAATTATAAATAAAAAAAAACTCAATTCAAAACGTTCAATAATTTTTAACTACGCTAATTTTTAGCTATAAAACTTATTTAATTTGCAGTAATTATTACAAATCACAATACTGATAACTAGTCTATAAACCTATTAGAGATTAGAGTGCTGTTAAAATTATACGTCCCCAGCTTGTTCAAATTCTGGGTACCGCTTTTAAAATTCGGAGGTATAGTTAAACGCTAAAATTTAATATAAAAATTATAGTTTATGTCTTTGCAAAAAATATGTATTATTTAGAAAATACTATTTCATTGGATGGTACAATTTTTTTTACTTAAAAAGATGATGTACCGTTTTTTTTTACTGATTGTTCGGTTTACGGTTTAGTACCTTTTTCATGAAAAAAATAGCATCTATCGGCTATTCTCTTTATGTAAACTTTTAAGTTAACAAAAATATAATTTTTTTGATTTATAATTGAAAAAACTTACAGAAATAAATTACTGTATCATTGAATAATTATAACATGCGCATATTACTCATAATAAATATACGGATCTTGTATTACAACTATTTGAAAAGTCTGTTCAAGTACTGGTCCCATTTTTATTCGCTGGGTGCGTAAGGCATAGTGGGGGACACAAAACTGATGTCAGCGTCCGCTGCGGACAATACAGAACTAAGGGTGGCTCTTTATTACTATAAGCTATGAAAATAATACGTGTGTTAGTTTAATTAAATAAATAAAATATAATGGGTCATCAAAATTGTTGTGTAGTTGATTGTAAAAATACTAGTAGAAATAGTAATTGTAAATTTTATAAGTTTCCGGTTGCCAATTAGAAATTAAATCAGCGAAAAAAATGGATAGCTGCTGCTCAACATTTCTCATATGTTCAGCCAGGACTAAATTTTTATCCTTTAGTAAAGTTTGTGGTTAAAAAATAATATTATGGGTAATAAATTGCAAAATTAAATAAAGAAAATAAAAATTTAAGATACATTCGTAAATATATAATTATGTTAAATAGCTATTCGTTATTTTTTATATAATTTCAGATTGTTATATATTTAATATTAATACTGATTTTTCATTTAATATTAATTTAATAATACTAAGGTTAACCGACATTTAAAATTTTTTAATTATTTTTTATTTATTAAATGAAAACTAAAAAATATTTTTAAAAAATTGCACTGGTAGTTTTTCGAGTTTTTCAGAAGTAAAATTTTTTATTTTCTTTTTTTTGTAATAATTTTTCAATAAAAAAGTTTCTAAAAGTTTTTAGATGTCGGCTAACTTAATTTTCATATTAATTTAACAATAAACACCTTGACAGATTTTAACACTCATTATAACCTAATTCACTTGAGATTTGTTTTAGTTATTGTGTTTATTTTCCTTATTACTATTTCCAACTGACCTAAGACAAAATTTTTAATTCAATCTACATTCTGTATAATATGTCACATTTTACATAGAAAAAAATTTTTTTCAAGTTTATTTAATTGTTTAAATAACTATTTGGCATCTAATATATGTAAATTTTCTTAAAAAAGCCACCGTAAGTTGTATCGTTAGGTGGCGGTGGGGTTACGCACCCAGCGAATAAGTGTTCAAGAACTGGGTACTTTACCTTATCAAGAACAATGATTTTTTTTTAACCTGAATTAATCTCTGGAACTTTTTTCAGCGAAACAAATTTAAAATGCCGTCAATGTTTAACTGAAACTGCTGAGATGATGGACAACAACGAACTAATTGGTGAATTTGACGGTGAAATTGTTTGTGAAACGCCCAATAATTTATTGAATAAGTTCGATGGTATATTAACGTGGAAAGGCAACAGGTAAATTTTTTCTAAATTAATTTTTATTAAGTATCTTGAAAATATTTATTGAAAATTTTAAATCAATCTAAATAATACTTTCCGATTGTTTGTAAAAATTTATTAAAAAAAAATTTTTTTTAATTATAATGTTTAGATTAAAATAAGACGTCCAATTTTTTTACAATAAACATTTTTCTTTTAAATTAAATTAATACGGTAGAAGAATCAAATATTGACCAGACAGTATAATTCTTTTGTTAAAATTTTGATGGCGCTAAAATTAGCAGTCACTTGACTATTTTTAAATTTTATTCAATAATAAAATTTGTTCAAAAAATTTATTTAAAAAAAAGATCCTAAAGTTAACTGACATTAGAAATTTTTTACAATTTTATTAAATTATTATGAAAAAAATTCTACATGTGGAAAAAAAAATTATCAGTGGTAATTTTTTAAAACATTTTTTTATTGTAATTAATTTATTATGAAAATTCAAAATTATTGACAGCTGTCAGTTCACTTTAATATCATTAAAAAAATTGCAATTTTAACGTTTACCCTATTATCAATTTTATAATTATATCTGACTGAACCTAACTGCTTAACAGTAATAAAAATAAATATAATTAACATAAAAAATTTTTTTCAGGTACGCCCTGGACAACGATAAAATAATATTACGTGGTTGTGTGCTACGGAACACACAATGGTGCTACGGAGTGGTAATCTTTGCAGGCAAAGATACCAAATTAATGCAAAACTCAGGAAAAACAAAATTCAAGCGAACCTCCATAGATAGACTATTAAATCTTCTAATTATCGGAATTGTATTTTTTCTGCTATCACTTTGTTTATTTTGTATGATCGGCTGCGGCATATGGGAGAGCCTGGTAGGCCGGTACTTTCAAGCATACTTACCCTGGGACTCGTTAGTGCCTACAGACCCTCTGGGGGGTGCGACAGTAACTGCCCTGCTAGTATTTTTTTCATACTCGATTGTTCTAAACACTGTTGTGCCAATAAGTCTGTACGTAAGTGTCGAAGTCATCCGATTCGTCCAGTCCTTTTTGATAAACTGGGACGAGGAGATGTACTACGCCCCGACGAACACCCACGCCAGGGCGAGGACCACCACCCTTAATGAGGAACTCGGCCAGATTGAGTACATCTTCTCGGACAAAACCGGAACGCTTACGCAGAACATAATGACCTTCAACAAATGTTCCGTCGCTGGAAGGAGCTACGGCGACCTTATAGACGACGTCACCGGTGACATTATTGATCTCAGTGAGGTAATGTTAAAATTAATTGTTTAACCGCTTTACTACTTTACATTACCAGTACACCAGTACATTTGCTAGAATTATTACATTAAATGTTAATGGAGTTGCTATTGCACTCCCGTGTATTGTACGCATTATTCAGCATGTGTATGCTGCATGTAGACAGACAGATCCATCCACAAGTCCAAAAAGTTTACCGACATAAGGATGCACTGGAAAAACGGCCAGGAGTTTGTCCAGCAGCACCCGGTCAGCGCGAACGTCCGCTTGCTCGAACAGGCTGATCAAATATCGAGTACCACCCCAGAGCCTGTCATCAGCGCCCTCAGTGAGACGCTCGACACTTCAGTACGCATGCTTTGTTTTTTGTTTCCTTTCTTCGAGCGGCTTTTTATGCTTCGCTTTATCTTCTTTTTGGTGTTTTTTATAACCTAGGGTAGCAAGCTAACCAATGACGCTGGAACTTCTGCTAATTATTCACTAATAAGTAGGAAAAATAACCTTTGTATTGACTTAACCTCTAAAAAAAGTTATCTTTGTTCGCTCCACAGATTTTAAATAATTAATAGAAAACTTGCATTCATTTTATACCGCTAAAAATTTATGTTTGAATAGAAAAATTTATTCAGAGTAACTTAAAATTTTTTTTCTGATAAAAAATTGGATTTTTTTATAAATTTATTATAAAAACTCGATAATTTTTCCGTGTAAAAAAAACGACTTATGATTGGCTGTGACGGCATTATATCTTTTCGGGCTGAGAGCCAATGAAAATCACGTTATACACTTGTAATTTCTGTACACACAACGCCATCTTAAATAACAACTCAGTGAACATTTAACCTTAAAAATAACCATTATCTAGGTCATAAAAGTAATTCTTATTTATTATATAATTATTTTGAAATTAATAGACATTAAAATTTAAATATGTGTGGTGAAGGATTAATTATAAACTATATTTGGTAAAACAACTGTATATTTTTTTTTTAAACTGACAACGCCATCATAAATATTTTTAAATTTCGCGGAGCGGTGGCGCTACTCAACAGATCTAATGACGTCACTTTGAATTTAGATTCTGAAGAAGAAATTTTTAATTAAAAAATAACCCGAAAAATCTATTGTTAAAAAACATTTTCCATTTAATTCTCTCAGTAACTTTCATTAAACTTTAAAAAAGAACATGCAAGTTCTTTATTTTGTTAAGTTTAAGTTGGAATTATTGTTTCAATTGAGGTTATGTTACTGTATAGCTCGGTTAACTTGGGAACCTCTCGTTCACCATCGGCTGTTGTGGGTTAGCATTGTTTAAAAACAAGACTTGTAACCTAAAAATGTTATTTTAAAGAAAATTATCGATTGTTTTGACTAAAATAAAAAAGAAGAAACAATAAAAACCTTCATAATTAAAATTAATAATAATAGTAGATTTATTAAATATTACCACTAAAATATTTAATATCGAAACATTAACAGAACTAAAAAGTAAAGTAGTGAACAATGAAAATAAAAATGAACAAAACTAAAACAATGTATTTCTACTTTTTAATATTACGACGAAAGCTTGAGGAGAGATAGTCTGCATTGGGAAAGTGTTCCACAATCAAATTATCATTTAATAAATAAAATAAAATAAACTAATTAATTAATCAATCAACTAATTAAATATTAAACAATATACATTAAATAAATTATAATTAAATTTATTTTTTCAAATGTGCCTGACGTTAATATTCAACGCTGTTGGATTAATTAACTATTTTTATTTAATTAATATAAGTTTTCGATTATAGTTAATTTAGTTATTAAATAAATTTTCTACTGCGTGAGTTATTCTGTCATTAAAGTTTAATATTTTTATTTAAAAAGAGACTGCACCTGTTTGATTTCATTAAATTTGTGCAAAAAATCTCGCTTCTTATATTTTTATTATTAACATTTATTTAGTGGATTTATTATAAGTATATTGATTACATTTTTAATATTACAACGGAACATGCAAGTTCTCGATTAATTTGTAGCTCTGATAACATAACCTATAAAAGAACAAAGTGCTAGTATTAATACTTAAAACTTTTTCAGACTGTTCCCCCGTTGGATTTTTCCTTTAACGAGTACTACGAGCCAGATTTCAAATTCTACGACCCAACACTTTTGGAAGCAGTGAGAAAAGAGGATGAAAATGTCCACTTATTTTTTCGTTTGTTGGCATTGTGTCACACAGTGATGCCAGACGAGAGAAACGGCCGGATAGAATACCAAGCGCAGTCTCCAGATGAAGCGGCGCTGGTGTCTGCGGCTCGGAACTTTGGATTCGTGTTCCGCGAACGTTCGCCGAACAGTATAACTATTGAAGTTATGGGCAAGCGGGAGATATATGAGCTTCTTTGTATTTTGGATTTTAACAATGTAAGAAAAAGGATGTCTGTTATTCTTCGACGGAACGGACATCTTAGATTGTATTGCAAGGGCGCAGATAATGTCATTTACGAGCGATTAAAGGAGGGAAGCGAGGAGATTATGTTGAAGACCCAGGAACACTTGAATAAGTTCGCCGGTGAAGGGCTTAGGACGCTTTGTTTGAGTGTTAAGGACCTCGAGGAGAGCTTTTTCAATGACTGGAAGCAGAGACACATGGAAGCGGTGCTCAGTGGCGAGGACAAAGATGATAAATTAGACGCCATCTATGAGGAAATTGAGAAAGATATGACGCTGTTGGGCGCCACTGCCATTGAAGATAAATTACAAGATGGCGTTCCGCAAACTATCGCTAATTTAAGTCTCGCTGGTATCAAATTGTGGGTTCTGACCGGCGATAAACAAGGTATTGTTGAGGTTAATAGATCCTTAAGGGATCATTCTGGTTCCGGTGCTGGAAAAAAAGCAAATATTCATTATTTTTTTATACAGAAACTATTATAGATATTGATATAAAATTTATTCAACTCAATATGTCCTCTTGAATAACACTAAAAATATCTAACTTTATTTTTTAAAATATTAATAATGAATAATTAATTCATGAACGCTAATTATTATACAATTGTGGAATTATAAAAAAAGAGAGTGGAAATTTTATTTTCATGTTTTTTCCGCTCCAGGGGTAAATACGGGTTTTTATTGGCAGATAAAGGATGTAGTTGGGAAAGTTTAGGGTAGATGGCGCTGAGCTCTGGGATTCCCCGGTGAAATGGGAAATTTTTTTTGGTTAGGGTTAAGTTTTGTTTAGGAAGAGTTATTTTGATGAAATTTAGAGGAATTTTTAGTAAAATATTAATAAATTTTTAAATTTTTATGATAAAATTGGGAAAAAATAAATTCTTAGATTAAAAAAGAGCAAATTTTGAGAAAAAAAGAATAATCCTGGTTACATAGCTTGAAAAAAAGGAAATATTAATTATTTTTTTAGAGACTTAAAAAGACCAATAATTTAGAGCAAATTATACAAGACGTAGAGAACTTTAAAATTTAATTATCGTAAAATTTGTTACTTCTAAACTGAGAGAAAAAATTTCTTCTGAAGAAAATTACAAAAAATAAATTTGTTGGAAATTTTATTTTTTATCTGAAATCAAAACTTTCTTCTTGAAAAAAATTTTTCTAGATTAAGGAAAAAACAATTTTGGACGAAAATTCTCAAATTTTTCAAAAGTTACAAACCAGAATGATTCCTTAAATTAAAGAATTAAAATAATTCTTGTATTAATAACTAAAATTCCCACAGAAACGGCAATTAATATCGGATACTCCTGCCAGCTGCTAACAGACGACCTAACAGATGTGTTTATCGTCGACGCAACGACTTACGATGCCGTAGAGACTCAACTTAATCGGTATCTGGAGACCATTAGAACGGCCTCGAGCCAGCACCGAAAGCCGGCTCTCTCCATCGTCACATTCAGGTGGGACAAAGAAAGGTCAGGCTAACGAAAGAGACGGAGTACAGTCTAGTACATTTTTTTCTCTGCATTTTTCCCATTCTCAATTACAGTTATTACTTATTATTATTATTGTTATTGTTATTATTCTTATTAATATTATTATTATTACATATCATATTTATTACTATCGTTATGGACGACACTAAATGTGGCACCGTGTCCCCTCCTGATTATGCTTTAATCGTTTTCATGCCCGAGAAACGCCATTTTGTCGCTGGAACCCCCCATCACTCCTTTGTCGTCAGTTGTGCGCCTGCGTTATAATTAAAGTTCCTTTTTAATCTTCTTCAGGCACTAAGGAGATCCACGCGAAGTAGTCAAATTTTTAAAACCTTCTCAAAGTTTGTAAATTCAATCTACGAAAAATTAAAAAAAATTACTATTCAAAATATTAAATATTAATTATTAAAAAAACATAAAAGCACCAGATCAAACCTTATGAACGTTTATTTTCTTAACAACTTTGGTTAGAAAAGCATTTTTTTTAAATGCTGTTTAAATTAATTTCTTCATCTAATTATATGATCTTTTTTTTTTTTTAATTAACAATATATGAAAAATTTATAAAATTGAATAATTGAAATTAATTGTTTCCTTTATAATATTTAAATAATGGGTGTCAATAACTAGTTGATAATTTTTAAGTTGAATCTCATATTGACAGCCAGTCGACAGCGCTAAGCCTTTTTTTTACTTTGACCTAAAAAATTAACTGTAAGAGTTTGAACTCTTCTGATTCAATAAATTATTTTTAAATTAATTTTTATATTTTTAAAAGTAATTAATCATTTATGGAAATTATTATTAATAAACTTTAATAATATTGATACTTAATAATAAGTTTCGATAAATAAGAATAAGCAGATGATTCGACGCATGCGCAGTATAGGTGTCAATAATTGGGGCTAAAGTATGTCAATAATTAGATCAATCAGTTTTTTAACCTGTCAATCAGTGTATCTGGATATTCTATTTAATTATTTAAAATTAATTAGTAAATATCAGTGATTATCATTTTAAAAAAAGAAATTGATTAGTAAAAACATTACTTGAGACATTACCACAAACAAAATTCAACGATATTGATATTTGATTGCTTAAAAAAAATAAAATCATAATTTTGTCTCTAATAGTGTCAATTATTGGGGCTTTTACCTTAATTAAATGTTAATAATTATTTGATGAGTTAATTTTTCGGAAATTTCCTCAAAAATGTTATTAATTAATTTATTCTTAAAACTTGTAGGGTACTTGGATCTCCTTAAATGGCGTTTTTTGTTTTTATAACATAAATTATTAATATTTAGTAATGCTTTTTTTTTTTTTTTTTTTTTTTTTTAAAAAATTCTTGGGAATTCTTCTCTACTCCTCACAAATTTATCAATTAGTGCAACAGTGCATGTAGTTAATTAAAAGAATAAATTTTTTTTTTTTTTAATTATTAGAGCTTGGGAACCCTGTTGACTAGAAAAAAATAAAATAGAAGCTTACGTGTGCTACATAATAACAAATCACAGAAATAAATAAAATTGTTTGTTAGTTAGAAATGAAAAGTATAATTATATAAATTGGTGCTTGATTACTCACTCCTTCTCTTTCTGACTGCTTTATAATCTAGAAACATTATTAATATAGTAAATACATTTATTAATTACTTGAATTTAAATATCGGCTTGTTTGTAATTAATAGAACAACTATTTAAGTCATTTAATTTAATAAATAAAATATCATTGCACCTGACGCTGGCCGGGGTTTAAGCATAGTTAAATAAACTGTGATTACTTATTTGTTTTGTCAATTATGCAGTGATACAGAGTACAACCGCGATGAACCAGAGGATCATGAAGCAGAGTCGTCGTCTGGGTTCGCCTTGGTTATGAATGGGCACTCGTTAGTTCATGCTCTTCATCCTCAGATGGAAAAATTGTTCCTAGATGTCTCTAGCCAATGTAAGTTCTTTTTTCTTATTTATTAAAATTTAATAAATTAAATAATTGTCAAAGTAAATTTATTATATTAATTTTTTTAAACCAATAAGTATACTTATAAAAGTGTTAAATAATTAATACAAAATTTTTAAATATCTATATATATTTTTTTTTAGGTAAATCGGTAATTTGCTGCCGTGTAACGCCGCTGCAAAAAGCCATGGTGGTCGAGTTGATAAAGAAAAACAAGTCTGCAGTGACGCTGGCGATTGGAGATGGAGCTAATGACGTTTCGATGATTAAAACCGCTCACATTGGTGTGGGTATAAGCGGCCAGGAGGGCTTGCAGGCTGTATTAGCGTCCGATTACTCGATCGGGCAGTTCAGGTTCCTGGAACGGCTGTTGTTCGTCCACGGGAGATGGTCTTACTACAGAATGTCAAAGTTTTTACGTTATTTTTTTTATAAGAATTTTGCATTCACCTTATGCCACATATGGTTTGCCTTCTTTTGTGGATTCAGCGCACAGGTAGATTATTTTTAAATACTCAAAAAAATTTATCTTACATTATAGATTTATTATGACACTAAAATTAACTGACGTTCAATAATTTTTATTTTTTTCAAAAATTAAAAAATAATTTCAAAAAATTTCACGTAGGGTAAATGCACCAGTTGTTGACCGGTCACCAATTAGTTGACCGATGTATAAAAAAGTTAATTAATTAATATTTTACAAGGGTTTTTTTTTTCTTAAAGTATTAAAATAAAAAAATATGGCATTTAATCATCATAATAAAAAATTACGCAATTAATTGCGCAGTGATTATAGCTTTAAAAAAATATTCTGAGTTTGTTTACAACGCAACCAGCCATAAAGCGGTCAAAAATAACTAGCGTACCATTGGAGAGTGAGTGCATTTCATCATTAATTTAGTGATATTTATCGGGATAATATAAAATATTTTAGTTTTATTATGTTAATGAAAGATCAGATTCCAACTTTTTTGAAAAAATAAAGTTAAATTATAAGTTTTGATATTATTTTAAGACCGGTCAACTATTGGATCCGTCAGAAGCCCTTTACCCAGTAAAAAATTCATTCGGTCATTTATTAGACCCTCTGATTTTATCACAATCCAATTAATCACCGTATAATTATAATACTAACTTCTTAACTCCAAAATTAAATCTGTCAAGTGTTTAAAGTACTTTAGTCATTAAATATTTTGTAAATATAAAAATAATCATTATAAAATGTATATTTACAATTAAAATAATACTTAAAATTTTTTTTGATTATTAAATTTTATTTTGTTGTAATTTTTTTAGTGAACGGTTATATCAAAGAACGAATTATTAGAAAAAAAAATTGCTAAGCAATTAAAAAAATAAAAAAAAAGTTACAAGCTAGTAAAAAAGCTTTAATTGAAAAAAAGAAGAAGAATAAAAAAATTTCAAGTGAATCAGAAGAATTATTGTCATCAAAATGAATTTGTGATTATTTGTGACCTAAATAAATGTGACTTTATGTTAATTATTGCTATTATTTATATTATTTTATAAAAAAGTACGATTTAAAATTATATTGTATGTTTAGTTTTGTTAAAGATGTCGTTAATACTTCAAAAGTACTCCATAAATTTAATTACATACATGTAGTTTACAAAATTACTTATAATTATTTGAGCGGTCAAAAAAAATTGCGCCAAGTCCACGTTCATAAGACTATTAAGAAAAAAAAATTAGTTTTTTCTTTACAAAAAGATATAAAATAAAAAAATTAAAAAATCCAAGTAACCGATATGATTGTATATGATTTTCCGAAATTAGAAAAAATTTTGTTGTAAATTTAAAAATTAAAAAAAAAAATTTTGGAACGTATTTAGTGTGCGCGGTTGCAAAATATTTTACTCTTAATTAAATTCGTAAAATCTATTTACTAGGACTTTAAAAAAATTGAAATACACAATATGACGCATACCAATTTTCATCAACCGATCTTGATGAAAATTGGTACACATATTCTTTGAGTAATTACCTTGAACGAGTTCGAAGATGAAAAAAATCGGTCAATTAGTTTAGAAATGGCGGCCATTTAAAATTTTCAAAATAGTGAAAATCACATTTTCGGTCACTTCATTGATGTATAACTTTTTATTGAAAAGAGATACCTAATTTTTGAAAAAATCATATGATAGTTATTCATATCACCGCGAATCTACTAGACATAACGATTGATCCTTTATTATTAAAAAATCATATATAGATTTTGCTCATCTTTGAACTAGTCCAAGATAATTATCCAAATAGTAAATACACCAAGAAAACTTTTACAGAACTTCTCTATTGTAATTAATTTAAAAATTTGGTTTTCAACAAATTATAATAGCAAAAATAAAGAGAATTTTATACCAAATGAAATCTACCTTACATTTCGAGTGAGGCCGAATGGAATTTTTTATAATGAATAATTGCTATTTTTATTGTTATTATTATTAATAGTATTGTGATTAAGAAAAAAAAAGTAATGGGTCTGATTGGAATTTGAACTCCACCCGTAGATCTTAAATAATAATAATAATATTATTATTGCTATTATTATATTTAATATTATGATTATTCTACCTTTGGTTTGGTCGTAAATTCGTTATATGGGGACAAAGCTCCTCGAGTTAAGACTAAACCAGACGTACGCTCATACTGTACCTAATAGCACAAGGTCGGTTTGAACGAACTTTTATCTGGAATTAAATCGAGAAAAAAGTACGACTAAAACGGAACTTAGATCTCGACTCGGGTTGGGTGACATTGCTTATACTTTAGTGTAAAAATCAAGGGAGTAAACTGTTCATTACAAATTTCGTCGCAGTACTGGTCCAAAATTTTTTTTTCAACCGAGTTATTTCTACAATATCTTTATTGGAAAATATCTTGAATTATTCTTTATCTGCAGTACGTGCTTTTTATTTTCAAAGAAATTATTGACTGACGCAGTTTTGCAAGTGTCAAGGGGCAGTTTATCCGATTACCGTCAGTTTTACATAACAAGTCGTTAGTTACTGTACTCATCACAGTGAAATTAATTGAAAAATATCACTATTATTTAGTGAAAAAAATAATATTTTAATTATAAATTATTATTATAGTTTAATTTGAATTTTTGGACAAAGCATGAATGCCATTCAAGAAACGTCAGAAGAAAATTCAACTGAAGCAAAGCCCATTGGAAAATCCTGTTGTTGCAAGTGTACTGTATCACTTTCAACAGTGTTAATGGTGGTGATAGTAAGTAAATAATTATTTATAAATTCAATACTTTTATATTATAAGATCTTCTCAATTTTGCGGCACTGAATAATCTAGGACAATAACTGTAGAGGAGAGAAGAATTTGCGCCTCAGTTCTCCTGGTTGTAGGCTTATCAAATTCTAATATTTACACAGTAAAAAATTTTGCGTCATTGGGTCAAAAAATTTTTATATTGAAATTTTACACTTTTAAGTGTTAATTTGACACTTCTTTATATCAATTCTAGTAAATCAACAAAAAAAGGTGTTAAATATTTAACACAAAAATTTTTAACATCAAATTTTTTGAGAAAATGACGCAAAATTTTTTACTGTGTATCCTTCCAAGAAATACAAGATTAGCCTTGCCATTTTATTCTTCTACACCTCAAAATAACGTCATGCTCTCATCATCCCTAATAAGACTATCGAACATATGCAATTACATAGTAGAGATTAACAATAATATTGATTTTTTTTTGTAAAGATCAAAACTGTTGTGCTAACGCTCTTGCATCTGCATTGATTTAATTAAGATTTACATTATTAAGTATAAATAAATAAAATTGAAACACTACAATAACTTTACTAGCTATGCCACTTCTATTATAATATTCTGTAATTTTGTTTTTTTTTTTTTTTGTAAAAGGATGTACCCATATCGTACCATTTTTCTTTTTAATCAATTTCATAAAAATCTAACTATTGCAGTCGTTCTTACACAGAAAAAAAAAAACTTTTTGCACCAAGAAACTTTTAAAGAAGACAAAAGTTATTTTGCGGAGCAAGAAGAAATTTTTTTGGCTCAAAAAACTTTGACTTCATTCAAGAAATTTTTAATCTTCCTTAATATTTTCTTGAGCCAAGAAAATTTACCCTCCAGTCAAGAATTTTTTTTTTTTCAGTGCATATGGCGCAACTTTTAAATAATTCAGTCATTTTCTGACTCAGCTCGACAAACTGAGTCAGAAAATATCGTTCGTTTAATAGTTTACATGTTTATATGATATAACGCAGCTTATCAGCACGATAACACTGTGTAAGAGAATGCTTTTCCATTTTTTTACATGGTGGATCTCCAGTAGAGGACATTTGTAAAATGCTGAAAGAGCGGAAAAACTAAGGATCAGGTTTCGGTCTGGTTATCTCAATTAAAATACAAAAATTATTATTAAGAATATCACTAGAGATTTATTTACTATAAATACACTCAATATTTAATATATTCAATAGCGGATTGATAAGAAAAAAGCGGATTTATAAAACACAGCGTGGATATCAATGCGAAGCCGGTCAGCACGTGGTTGAGCAAATTGCCGGCACTGTAAAAAGCGGTGAAACAAAAGCAAATAAACACAATTTATCTGAAACAAACTGAAGCGAAATATTAGCGGTTAATTTAAGCAATTTAAATTATAAAAATAGCGAAATGCGTTTAGTTAACGATGAGCGAAATAAAATAGCGGGAAAGCGAAGCGTTAGACTTAATGGCGGAGAAGCGAAAGATAATAATAACAGTTCGTCTTCTTCCTCGTTGACTTGGGAAAGAAGGCTCCTGCGCATGTCTAGCGAGAGCGATAGCCAATAAATAAATTCGTTCTATTGATGTCGACATCGATAGCCAACGGTAAAATTCGATACATGTGGCGTGATCAGTCAAGCGGGTGAGAAATTGCGGGAACGATCGCTTGTCAGGTGCGTGTTGTAAATTTGGGGAGCCCACAGTGACGTATTACTCACTGAGTGGGCCTGTTCACCGAACAATAACAGTATAAGAAAAAAAGAAAAAAAAATATAAGAATATAAATAATCATAGATCAGAGCAGTATAGTTTTGTATTGTAAATATCAATATATAATGTAAATTATTTTAAGAAATAGAATTAGCAGACTTTGATCCCTAGGCCTCCCTGAGTTCAAGCTCATAGAAGAATTCAAAGGCTTTTGATTTAAATGCCTCTATGCTGAGTGAGTTTATGACATCTGGTGGAATTTCACGCCAAAGGCGTATTGATGAGATTAAAAAGGAGTGCTC